CAAGGGGAGGGGAGGGCTGCTGCTGCAACCGGGGAAAGTGCTGGGGAGGGGCTCAGGCGCAAGCAGACGCTTGGCAGGAATACAAAAATAAAATCTCTAGGAGCCCTTGGGGAAAGCAAGAGAGCCACAGTGCCCAAATGCTGGAACCCTCCCTTCAGCCAGTCCAGCATTCAGCTACTGGATGCCAAATGTCTTGGGGGGGGCTTAAAAAACAGGGGGGGAGGAGAGAGTCTGTCCTCCCCCCATTAATCCAGCTTCTACTTCTTTACACGTTCCAGGATCCAAAGTATAAAAGGGGCCATCGGGAACAGCAGCCGGTCCGGCCTCCCCGAGGCCGCTGTGCCATCATCCATGTTGGAGCAGAGGTCCTGTCCCCCAGGCACAGCAGGAAAGACGGAGCGTCCCGAGGTGCTGCCGGGCAAGAATCCTATCCCTGAAGGCAGAGCGGGCAGGCGGGCGGGCTGGCAGAGGGCTGGCTGCACCATCCTGGGCATCTGGAGGCGCCAACCACCCACGCAGCATCCACAGGGCAGGCAGAGCAGCAACAAGGCCAAGTTGTTTAGGGAAAGAGCTGGCAGAGCTGTCCTTTGTGGGAGATGCCCCCCGGCCCAGGGATCACATGCAGACCACCTGTCTCCTGCGAGCACAAGAGGGGAACCTGTGAGCTTCTGCGGGCTTGGCCCAGGAACCCCTGCCCCCTACTGTAGAACGGGACCCCCATCCGCAAGCAGCAGGGAGAGCAAGGAGGCCAAGCCAGGGCAGACCCCTACGCACTTGTCCGCCTCAAGGCCGCCCCTGTCCTTGTCGCAGCTGCCCGCCGTCTCCTCTGCATCGTCCTCACTGAGGTCCATGTTCAGCTCATTCCCAGCCTCGGGGTGAGGGTAGGTGGAGCCGCTGGGGAGACAGAGGGGACTCAGCACACGCCCCAGGCGCCAGGAGAGCCGGGGAACCCTCGGGCCTCCCCGCCCTTCACCTGATGGAGCGGCAAGTGAAGAAGACAATCCGCTTCAGGCGCTTGTTGTAGAAGAAGTAGTTGAACGACCACAGGCTGCCCTCCTCTCCAAAGGGGTCCGAATCCAGATCTGGGTTGTAGCTGCGGCACAGAAGAAGAGCTGGAGAGGCCAAACTCCCGGACGCCCCCCTCCTGCCACCGTGCACGCTGCCCACGCCCTTCCCAGCCCACCATCCCTGTCTCCAGCCTCACGCCGGGGGTTCACCTGTAGATATCGCACTCAGAGAGGCAGATCTCCTGGTCCACCGCATCCCACAGGTGAGGCTTCAGGGCAGTGAAATCTTCCCGGACGGCAGAAAAGAGGCTGCAGTTCACAGCATTCACCACCTGAAAAAGGCCCCAGACGTGAGATGGGCGCATACCCCACGGTGCAAATGGGGAGGAGCTCAAGCGTCCGGGGAGGAGACGACACAGGACATGGGCCACTAGTGCCAGGGGGTTTTGCCAGGGCTGCAAAAGTTTATTAGCTAATCCCAAAATTTCAGCAGTGGCTTGGCACAGCATGTTCACCCCACGCTGCCAGGTCAGTAACCAGCCCTGGATTGGTAGTGGAAGGTAGGAGGGAAGGCACCTTCTCCAAGATCTGGCCAGGCCAGGGCTGGTTACAGCGGGAGACAGAGAGCCCAAGGAATTCCAGCAGGAAGCGGGGCAAATAAGCCAAGGGTTGGCTTCTACCTCCCCAAACAACAGCCATGGGCCCTGCTGAACAGATGCCCAACGTGAAAGGGGTCTCCTCTGTGAGCCTCAAGCACTGTGGAACAGACTCAAGCAACAATGGGTACCACTGTGCTAGGATCGGGGACATCCACAGGGCACAAGGCCCTTCAGCAACAAGAGGAGATTGTTTCTTCTCCTTAAGCTCTACCACCCACCCCAGCACAGAGGGCAAGGGACCCACTTACCCAGTTGAGACTCGGCTCCCGGCTAAACTCGTGGCTCTTTGCAGCACTGAAATCGTAGTCAGGCCGGAAAGACTCATTGAGGGTTGCTATCAGGTAGAAGAGGGTCTTGCGGCTGCATTTGTCACTGAGGGGGCCTTCTTCATCACCACTCTGGCTCTTGCTGAGCCTAGCACATGAGACACACTGCTTGCCCGTGCCTGCCTTGGAGGGAGCAGCCAGGCCTTGGGACTCGGCTAGAGGGGGGTTGGATAGACCCTGCCCCTGGTCTCCCAACAGGGGCTGGGTAAAGCAGCCTTCGGCAAAGGCTTCTCCCAGCAGGTCTGGCCTGGCCTGGCCTGGCCTAGAAGGGGAGGCTGGGAACAGGCCATTTTATCACCCTGCACCCCGACAGTGTACTTCCGACTCCAATGGGAGCCATGCTCCTGCAGCCCACTGGGCCAGGCCGGGGGCAACTATCAAGGAGCATAACCTGCATACATGAGGCACCAGGGTTGGGTGCGCGTACCGGTTAGGGCTGATGCCTGTGGTCTGGGGTGGTGACAGAGCCTCCAGGACATGTGGCTGACCCTCCTGGCAAAACTGCTTGAAGAGGTGCTTGTCATCCCCAGCCATCTTGCACGAGTAACTCTCAATCCTGCAGGAAGATAAACACGTCCCTGTGAGCCAAGGTGCGAGCCCTGCCTCTGTGCCCGGCCGAGGGGAACTGCAGGCCCAGGTCAGTCCTGAGCAGCAGGAAGCGCTTGGGGGCCATCGGTTCCTCCTGAGCTAGCAGAGCCGGGCACTTTGTGCGCCGCATCCTGCGAGGGGCATGGGTGACTCAGGCAGCCCCTTTCAGCGCTGCTGTTCTGATGAAACAATCCCCGGAGACATTGCAAATGAAGCGGCAGCAGCAGCAGGCTGCGTGCTTTTAAGCAAACGTCTCATGGCGCTGGTTTCCATCCACGGCAGGGGCTCTTGATCCCACTGGACAAGCCTCCCAGTGTTGGGTTTACCCTGTTGTAAACTTTTTGTGCTGTTGAAGAAGGCAGAAGGAGAAAGCCCAGCGCCCAGTCCCCACGGGAGGAGGCCAGAGGATGATGCCTGCCGAGCAGACTGAAAGCCGGTGCAGCCAGCTTCTCTCCAGCTCCAGGAAGAGCTCATCTTGCAGGGCCTTGGTCCCTCCCCCCCGAGCTCGCTCTGCACAAGGCATCACTGGAGCCCCCCAACCAAGAGCCCACCCCTGCTCAGGTGCTCCTATCAGCCAGGACAGCAACGCATTGACGGTCTTCAGAAATACAAGGCAGGCTAATCATGAGATTTCCATTCAATCAGAAAAGGTGCCAAACTCCATACAGTTCTAGTATTCATGGCATAAAACATACATTGTGACATTTTTAAATCAGATTTTTAAAAATGCATATGTATTATGCTTTTCTACTATAATTATAAATCTGTAAAACGAAATGTAAAATTGTTTACAGACTATTTTTCAGGGAAGGCAAGGACCAATTTTCTAGCCACCCAGCTTATTTTTTCAGACTGTAAATACTGAATGCACTGCCAGCTCTTAAGCAGAAACAGTGCAAGTGCCAGACTGTGAACTCTCTTGACCGCTGAATAGCCCAGACCATTAACCAAATGGGCCCACAGCCTGTTCCAGCCTCAGGACTCCTCCTATGTCCTTAAGCAAATCAGCAAGGCAGACCAGCAATAAGTCACAATAACACTACGTTCATTCGTTCATTCCTCTTAATCAAAGTGGATTTCCAGATGAGGGAGGCCACAGGCTCTGCAAGGGTTCTGTCAATTCTTTCTGAGAGCCAAATTTCAAGGCAGATATACTTGGGAACAAACCCATGATTCCTAAGGAGGTAACTAGTACAGTCAGGTCCAGAAATATTGGGACATCAACACAATTCTAACATCTTTGGCTCTATACACCACC